AGTGGCATTTTTGTAAATGGACACCCCTAAATGATATTCTTGCAAATGTGCACACAAAAAGTGGTATTTTTGTAATTGCCCCTAAATTAAATGTATTTTGAAATAAAAATTTATAATGTGTTAATTATATAATAGAAATAAACATTAAAAAAAGATTAAAAAGAGTTGATAAAAACAACAAAAAAGAATGAGACATTTACAAAAATATCATTTTTGTGTCCACACTTACAAAAATGCCACTTTTGATATCCATTTTCAAAATGTCACTAATTATGATTTTTTAAAATTTAAATCTTAAAATTCTAAATCCTAAAAAATTTTCTGACCCCTAAAACCTCTAAAACCCTCAAAACTAAACTCTAATACAACATAGTTAACCCAAACATAAATGATATAATGAATAAATAATTTTGAAAAAGTGGCATTTTTGCAAAGATTGAAAAATATGGCATTTTTGTAAAGTGGCACTTAAAAAGTGGCATTTTTTGAAATTTCTCAAAAAGAAAAGACAGGAAATTCAAATAGAAATATTCATTGTTAATAAAACCATGTGATAATTAAAAATATTTTGACAATTCAACAAGTTATTAACTAAAATGTAAATGTTCATATCGATAATTCTATAATATGTATATCCGCGTATCGATATGTGTCATAATCTTGTATATATGTATATACTAGAAACTACTTTATATATTTTAAATTGTTCATTTCACTATAATTTTTTCAAAATGGAATATTCTAAAAAATCAAATATAAACAAAACAAAAGGAAACCGAAAGGAGATATATATATAACCTAAGTTTTACACTGAACAATAATTTTGAATATCCTCGGAAATTCACATGTAGCCAAAACCGTAAATCCAATATTTCCATTCAACATTGGATAAAAATGAAAAAATATAATCTAAATGATTGGATATATAAGGATGATTTGATACTTTTTTACACTTTTTTTTGTGCTCGAGATGAACAAGCTGTTACGCCAAGCATTGTAAGGACACATTCCGTTTTTTTTTTTTGGTATAAGATTCAAATTTTATCAAAAAAAAAAAAGGATGATTTGATAATTTCCAAACCCACGGAAAAAAAAAAAACCTAACACGAAATATTGCAAGTTCTCCTTCTTATTTTTTTTTTATTATTTTCTCCTTCTTATTATTCTCACTTAAGTTTTTTTCCTTTTGAAAACATATTCTCACTTAGTTAAGAAGACAAATACTAACATGTTATACAATGGATGAAAAAACAAATACACAGTGATGATTGATCTACGATAGCATGCATGGATAAATATGAACTCTGATTCACTAGTGAAATGATGGGATGGAATTAGCAAACATACCAAATAAATAAATGAAAGTAGAACAACTAACCTGTAACTTCCATGAGAAAGCTGTATAAGAGCGTTAAGAGCAGATCTCTGGTGGCCAACGACATTAGAAGCAACCATAGAAACAAGAGCCTGGAGAACACCAAGCTCAGCCATGAGCCTCTGAATCTTGCTGCCTTCTCTGGCAAGTTTCTCGATCTCGATAGCAGCTTTCTCCTTCTCTTCGCAGCTTCCAAAATGAAGCATCTTCACGGTTCTCTGCAACACAACCTCTTCATTCTCGTCCTCGGTTGGTTTCGGTGCTGCTTCCGGCGGCGCGTCCACCTTTTCGGAATCATGATGAGTTCTTGATTTCTCAAGTGAGTCTTGGTGGTTGCGTTTGCGTGAGGATGCTTTGGATTTCAGAAGGGAACGAATCTTGGTGAAGAAGTGGAGCTCCATGTATTGGAGTTGCCAAACTGACGAAGAAGTAGAGGGTTGTGTTCGAGAGGAAGACATGACTGATATCTGATGTGATGTTCTGTATCTTTGAGTGGACTTTGCTCCGTCCTTTAATATGTATATTGACTACTATTTATTGGGGCAATAAGGTATATGCCTAATGCCGGCCAGTTTTGTATTGCATAATAGAAAAAATTGGAGAGGATTGCAATTTCCCACACCAAATGACTATGTTATGTACATCCCATATTTTCCTTCTCTCTCCTCCACCTGATCTCCTCGCTGATGTTCTTTATTTCTTTTCATTTTTTTATTTTTCTGTTTTTTCTTATATTACTACATTTCTTTCATCATATATTCTATATTTTAATTTAGTATTAAAAAAACAGATTTAGATTCCGTTTTAAGTTATTTTTCTTTACAGTTTGATATCCATATTATTATAGTTTATTAAATTTATTGCTTATTAACAAAATAAAACATATTATACTTGTACACATAAAGATATAAACATATCAAAAACTATGTTGTCAGTCCATAAATCTAAATTTATACATATTGTATTTATATGTGTACAAAATTTTATCATTTACTTTATT